GAATCCATTCCTTACAAAACTTATTTTAAAACAAATGCTGAAAGTTTTAAAGACCAACACTACTAGAAGATGAACAAAGAGTCCCTGGGAATCAGTTACAAAGATAACTGAAGCCACATCCAACAGGCGCCGTCATTTTTATCAATACTGATAAAAATACAATGCAAAAACCACTAACCGTTTTCTGTTCAATGAAAATGCCAAGAAGCTCTTTGCTTGTGCATTTTTTAAGGATAACAATAGCAGCTAGCTGATTTGAGACATCGCTGGGGCCCGAAATCATGCCTAGATTATTCAGAAATTCTTCTTCGAGCTTCAATCGCATGCGTATCAGTTTCGGTGACATCTGCCGTACCAGTCGTGAAAGTCGACTCGAATGGACAATTTCAGCAGATAGGCAACAGTGAAGCGATTCAACCAAAACCAAAATAAACGAATCCGAGAGAGGATCGCTTTCGCCTATCTAAAACAGTTGAATTAATCAAAAACGTTGTTTTAGCAATCCTTATTGCCCCCAAACGGACGCAAATTTCCTCCTGTCCCAAAAGTTCATCAGAAGAAAAGTCAGGAATCTCCAGTATACGAATTAAAATCCAAAATATCAGACGAGATACTGAAACTTGGTGGGAACCTCTATACTGGAGTTCAGTGACCTAAACAGTCCGAGTTAGGCAGGCCGTGAGAAGAGGTAGGAGCTTTTTGAAGGTGCCTTCTGAAATATGTAACAGCACGAACGTTATGTATCTTTTTCAAGTAGCTCGGACATAAGGCAACTCTTTCAAGCCGAGAACACCCCGAAGAATTTAATGGATTGAAACGTCTTAACTCTTTCGTACTTATTTTTTCTACACCAGCTATATATCTACACCCATCAACACATGGTTCGTTCTATTCCCGCCCTATTTATGTTCTTAATATTACTTGTATGCTACAATCATGTTACAATCAGCTTAGCCGAAATACAAAGAAATACTATTTAATGGGGCAGCAAAAAACTTTCAGAAAGACGAATTTACCAATGAGTATAAATGAAAGAGTGCGGATATGCGACAAAGCTTTGCACTTGAAAGAGATCGTTGGTCTGCACTGAACGGTGGGCGATAGTCAACTTCAGCACTGCGAACATCGTGAACAGATCGAGCCAGCGAATCAGCGATTTCTGTGACGCGACGAACCGAGCTCGATGCATCCAGCACATCCCGGTAACGACGACCAACCATCTGTCGCATCTCCTCCTTTTTCTCCTCCATTTCTACGCTGAAATAAATCGAAATTCCAGCAGTTACATGTAGAAGAATATTAAAAAAACAAACGAATAAGTGGACATTACTTTAAATCTATAACCTTTGACGGCCTCAAACTGAACACGGCAAATCGCAAAACTAGCAAAATTTTCCCCAACCAAACCTCATGAACTGCACTTCAGGGCAATTTACACAGCAACTAGTAGGTTTCCTTACAAGATAAAGAGTTTTGACTGTGCACATTTTATGCTTGTGTCTTCTCACCAATTAGTACACACTCCTTGCCAGTTCCCTGCACAAAATCGGCAAAAATCTGCCGAAATCAGCAGCGAAAACGGCTGAGATGCTGTTTCGAAATCGATTATTTTTTGCCTACTAATTAGTGTCATCTGGAATTGCTAAGCAGTGTTGGCATAGTGCTGAAATTTTAGGGTCCAATCGCACCAGTGAAATAACCAGTTCATTTGCGATTTGCTCACTCCTTTCGAAAGCAAACTAGTAACTGTCACATCCCACGAAGACAAAATCACTGCAGTTTTGGTTTTAAACCCCTCTCATAGGAGGGAGCTATTCATGGCCTTTCCAGCTGGTGGCTGCTCTCGGCCACCAGCTGGAAAGGCCATGAATAGCTCCCTCCTGTGAGAGGGGTTTAAAACACTTAGGCTACATCACTTAGGCTACATGAACATGCTCCTGTTTTGTTGTAGAAAGTGAATGCGGTAGGGGTTTTGATTTTTGGCTTTGAATAATACCGCGACAGTAGCATCAGCAAAAAGTTTGGACGAGCAAAAATACTTGAAAAAACCCCCTCCCCTCCCCTACTGGCCCAAAAAAAAAATTCTCCAATTAATGGTACTCGAAAAATCATCAATAAGTCAAATTTGCACTTGAATGGAAAAGTACGCAATGGTTAACACACAGAACAATCCTTCCAGATTTTGTTCAGTGAATGCGAAAAGTAAATGAAAAACTATTCATTCTGAACGCTCATTTTCTTCCAAACAGTACAAATGCTTTTGGCAAATTGTCATCAAAAATAGTGAAAGAGAAAGCCGTCAACCTGAGATCCGAATGTATACGCTGTAGCTGTTCGATGGATAAATCCTGCATCAAGCGTTCCACGTCCATTCTCCGCTCTTCTTTCGATTTTGCTCACAAAACAATGTGAAATAACCTGGAAGAATGCGTAATCACGTGCAAACCGAGCAATCACTTGATTTAGCAAATTCTATCGAAGCGAAATTACCAAATCGTTGATCGTCGTAATAAAGTTCAACTGATTTCACTGCACAAAGTCAGTAATAAACTCGAATTTGTTGTCTTACC